CACATCTGTTCCTCTTCTCCCAAAAGGTAAGTGTTGGATGCATTTTGTATGTATTAAATCTACCTTTTAAAAGGGAGCATGTCACAAATTATTCTGCAGCTGTTATAAAAAGCACTTATGAAGTGTCTGCATTAAACTTGGGCCAATTTAGATCTGCTTTCAAGAACTAACATTCAAATTCCAAAAGGAATAACAGTTTGGCCTCATTTTTACAGATGTTCTAATGTGCTCAACACCTTGGGAAAACAATCTCTTAGAACAACGAATTAGCTGATTACTTTTTTGATTGTTCTGCTTTTTTGAAAAATCATTTAATAATTACTCTTATTAATGCACAGTTAACACTGAGAATGTAGCTGTATTCCATTGTAAGCTTAAGAACGTCACCATCTAAGCACAAGTTTCTATGCAGCACATACAGTAAATCTAACTGGCAAAATTAATTTACAAAAATAGCACAAAAGGGTATTTACGGCATGGAAAGTTAGACACTTCTCTATGGTACATTTAAAATTGCTTTGAAAATGCAAGTGTGACTCTTGTTCCCCACCCCCATCCCAACCTCCCCCATGATTTACGCTCCATAGGAAAGCTGCTGCTTGTGTACCTCAGATCTGACAGGTCATGAAATAGGTAGTAGAAACAGCAAATAGATTACTTTAGAACGACCAGTTTATTTTACTGAGAATATTTTATTTGCTGGTATAAGTTGCTAAAAATGCACAGAACAAGTACCAATAGAAAATGTGCTGTTTGTGTGTTCCCCTAGTGCTATATAAAATGAATGTTACACAGCGTCTGTTGGAAAAGTGGCTTCATGGACATCTCTTATTTTATGCCCTATTATAAATAAAAATAAATCTTCTCAGAAGTATAAAATCTGGGTTTTTTCTTTTCAGAATCTGACTTTTTTTTTTTTTGGCAGAGATGCACACATCTGACTTCGAAACTCTTTTGTAAGAGTGTTCTGCTCTCAGTGGTCAGAGAGGATACTGCTAGTCACATCCAGTGTGTTTAACAACACTTCTCCAGCCAGGATGGCCTGCTGATCACATCGCTGCTGGTCAATGGCGGACAGGCATAAATTTAATAAAAATGGCTAGCTTCTAAAACATAAAAAGGCAAATGTTAAAACATTTTGAAGTTGTACAGCAGAAAAATAAAGTTAAAAAGTTTTGTTTTCATTCAATGTTTTCTGAAAACATGTAGAACATTTATTTTGCAACTGTTTTAATTTAAAAGCTCCTCCCCATCCAGGAAAAAAACCTGTATAAGGAACTGTCAAGGACAGGGAAACAAATGATTTATAGGTCAGCCTTTCTGAAGTGACTGATTGGCCAATATTCCTTGTTTCATTAAGAAGTTCCTCTTCTCTCATTACAAAAAGGAAATGACCTTAATCATTTGGTTAAAAATCAAACCAAATCACATCAAAAATGTGGTTTTTCATATAAGCTATCACAGTATATAGGCCTTGAGCTCTAAAGAACAGAGTTCCACATTTGAATAATGTCTTCACCAGACTTCAGAACATTGGCATTCCAAATCCCTAGAAAAACAAGAAATAACAACAGTTAAATACATGATAATTGTTTGAAGTTCCAAGTAGCAAACATGCCCCGTGAAATCTTACCGAATCATCTTCAATGATAGCTGCTGAGTCAAAGAAATCTGGCCTCAATTCAGCTCGTTCTCGTCGGTTCCTTGAAGGTGGCTAGGAAGGAAAATTTTATGCAATTATTTTGGAATCTGAGTTTAGGTAAAGAAAAAGCACTTGGGATCTGCATTTTCTTATTTCTGTAACAGGCATACAACAATTACCTTTGCAAATAATTTTAAACCAGGAGTGGTCATCTGTGCAGTCACACCCATGGGATTATGCGCCTGTGCTGATCTGAATCGGTGATATACAAAGCTCACAATGGGATTTTCACACCTCCATCCCAGGCATGCGCTGGAACCCCACTGTGCATGCCTAAGGGGGTGGGGCGTGGACATCCCACCAGTTCCTTCTGACCGCTGTCATGTCAATAACTGGAGAAAAGTACTGAAGCAACAACAGTGGGGAAGGAAGGACGGATGGTGTGAATGCACAGATGACCACTTGAAGATCATCAATTACAGGTAAGCAACCTGTTTATCTTCTTCGTGGTCTCTGTGCATCACACCCATGAGAGACTGAAAAGCAGTGGCTCACCCGGAGGTGGGTGCTGTCGTATATTCAGTGCTCTGATGACAAAAGGACTAGATGACCAAGGTCCACTCTGTGGCGTCCACGAACATCAACAGTGTAGTGCTTGATGAAAGTGTTCGGAGTAGACCATTTTTGCAGCCTTGCAGATCGCTGACAGGGAAGCGTCCTTCAAGAAGGCTGTAGATGTAGCCATGGATCTTGTGGAATGCGCTCGCGCTGGCATAGGCAATGGGTGTTTAGCCAACAGGTAGCACAGTTTAATAGCCTCAATTATCCATTTGGAGAGACGTTGTGGTGAGATCTTTTGCCCTGTGGAGTGACTAGTGTAGGAGACAAATAACTGATTGTCCCTCCTACTTGAAGATGTCCTGTCAAGGTAAAAAAGCAGCACTCTCTTAACATCTCGCGCACGGAGAAGACATTGCTGTCCATGTTTCGGGTTAGGAAAGAAGTTTGGTAAGAAGATCTCCAAGCTGAGGTGGAACTCGGAGATCACTTTAGAGAGGAAAGAGAAGTCAGGCACCAGTCTCACACCATCCGGTAGAAAGACAAGGAAGGGTGGGTCATGACGAAGGGCCATGAGTTCGCCCACCCTCCTGGCAGAGGTAATGGCAACGAGAAAGACAGTTTTCTATGCGGCATATTTCAGTTCGCAAGTTGCCAGAGGCTCAAAGGGTTTCCCCCATCAGGTGGCGCAGCACCATCGGCAAGTCCCACAAAGGTACCGGCAAACACATTGGTGGATATAAGTGGAGGAGACCCTTCAGGAATCTCTTTGAGACCGGGTGAGAGAAGACAGAGAAGCCCTCAAAACCAGAATGGTAGGCAGAAATGGCTGACAAGTAGACTCTGACTGAGGAGTGTGAGAAGCCCTTCTCGGCCAGCAAAAGCAAAAAATCTAGAATCCGGTCCAGGGTCACAGAAGTCGAAGATACATCAGAGGGCTGTAAGAAGGCCAAGAAATGAGCCCACTTCATACTGTAGGAACGCCGTGTAGAGTCCTTCCTGGCATTAACACCGTAGTGATTCTAGCCGAAAACGTTAGTTGTCCATGAGATAGGCCGTTAGCTTGAGCTTGTGGACCTCGTGGAACAGAAGAGTTCCACCCTCCACTAGGAGCAGATCTGGGACTGGTGGGGGGGGGATGGCGAGCCTTGGTTAGTGAGAGGAGGTTGGCAAACCAAGGTTGCTGCGGTCACCAGGGGGCAATCAGAATGCTTCTCGTGTGAATCCTCATCAGCCTGGACCGTCTTTAGCAAGAGTGGTAGAGGAGGGAACATGCAGAGGAAGTTGTTGTCCCAAGGGTAAATGAGCCCGTCTCCCAAGGCCCCAGGATCTCGGACCCCACTGCAGCAGAACAGGCTGCACTTCGCATTGTATCAAGTTGCGAACACATCGATGTGAGGCGTACCCCACTTTTGGAATATGGGACATAGGTAGGTCCAATTCAGCTCCCAGTCGTGGCACTGAGAGAGACCCCTGTTGAGCAGGTTTGCATGAACATTGGCACTGCCAGCAATGTGCAAAGCAATGGGAAAAATGTGTAGAGGTATGCACCACACCCAAAGTTCCAGTGCAAGGTGGCAGAGATTGCGGGAGACCGTTCCTCCTTGTCGGTTGACATAACAGAGAGCTGTTGTATTGTCGGTCAATACAGCCACACATTTCCCCATAAGAACAGGCTGGAAACATTGACGGGCCAGTTTGATTGCCAGAAGTTCCAAAACATTGATGTGACTGCTTGAAGTCAAGGCATCCCACTTGTGACCTACGGAGAGGCCATTGAGGTGGGCTCCCCATCCCCCTAGAGAGGCATCGGTCATGAGGGTGAGACCAGGAGTGAGGGGATGGAAAGGGACACCCTGCATCAGGTTGTCTGCCAGTGTCCACCAGAGAAGGGAGTCGCGTGCTTCCCATGGCGGAGAGAGATGAACCGATTGGCTCATTCATAGGGGCTTGAAATGCCTTAGAAACCAGAGCTGAAGTGGACACATTCGCATTCTTGCGAAGCAAGGGACCGCAGTCATAGCTGCCATCAGGCGCAGAATGCAGACACCATGCTGTGGAGCCGAATCTGTTTTGCAAGGGTGGCTAGAGTGAAAGCTCTGTCCTGGGGCAGGAAAGCTTTGCCTTCCAAGGAGTCGAGTCTTGCCCCTATGAACTGCACTCTCTGAGAAGGAACCAGCTGCGACTGCTTGTGGTTGACACGGAGATCCAGGGAACGAAGGACACTGAGGGTCTGGGATACATGTTGTATGAGAAGGTCCCTCGAAGGTGCGACCAGAAGCCAGTCATCTAACTACGGGAATACCGTGAAACCACAGAGGCGGAGATGTGCTACAACCACCACCATCATCTTGGTGAAGACTCGCGGTGCCATGCTGAGGCCAAACGGTAGACTCCTGTATTGATAGTGGCTGCCTCCTATCACAAACCGAAGATATTTCCAATGAGAGGGATGGATGGTTAAATGGAAATAGGCATCTTTGAAGTCGAGAGTGGCCATCCAACAACCCTTGAATAGGAGGGGTAGAATGACTGGTAGAGATGCCATCTTGAACTTCCAGTATTGAATATAGGCGTTGAGGCTCCGAAGGTCTAGAATCGGTCTCTGGTCATCATCCCTCTTGGGTACTATGAAATACCGGGAGTAAAAAATGAGGCCCTGGTGGTCTAGAGGCATGGGTTCTATGGTACCCTTTGAAAAAAGCATGGCTACTTCGTCGAAGAGGAACAACAATGGAGGGGTGTTAACGAATACAGGAAGAGGTGGGAGTTCTAGAAATTCGGTGGTATAGCCATGGGTCAGGATGGAAAAAACCCATTGGTCCGATGTAATATTGGTCCAGGCATGTAGGCGGGTAGGGTCAGAAAAGGTAGTCGGAGGGGAGTCAAAGGCCCTGTTTGCCGGGTTTGGGCCTGGCATGTTGTTGTCCAGAGCCGTACTTCTGCTTGGCTTGATATTGTTGCCTATTCCCCGAAGGGGACTGATGCGGCCTCCAGCTTCCCTCTGGTGATGGCTTAGTGTAATGTCATCTAGAGCTGTAAAGTGACCAAGAGCGAGGTCTAAAAGGCTTAGAAGGGGCAGAGACCCCCAGCGACCTAGAAGCTTTAATACTCTTATCCATGTCTTGAAGGGCTGAGTCTGTTGAAGCATGGAAGAGACCTTGGTCATTGAATGGTAAGTCCTCTATGTACACTCTAGTGTCGTTAGGGAGGGAGGTGGTCCTGAGACAGGAGTGCCCACGGAGGGCGACTGCGGAAGACATCATCTTGGAGAACGTGTCCAAGGCATGTTTGGAAGAATTGATGATTTGCTTAGACAGCAGCAACCCTTCCTTCTGCAGCTTTCTGGCTTCCTGACGTTTGTCATCAGACACCGAGGTAAAAAAATCAGTAAAGCGCTCCCAGAGTGAGTACTGATAACGGCCCATGCAAGCGATATAATTTGATGTTTTAATTCCCAAAGGTCCAGCTGAATAAAAACGTCGGCTAAACAAATCCAACTTTTTGCTCTCCTTATCAGAAGGTGTAGCAAGGGTACGTTTATTCTTGGATGAGGACGATACGACCATGGAGTTAGGTTTCGGATAGATATGGAGGAATTCAACCTCTGGCTCTTGGACTTTATACATATGATCCAGGCGCCTGGAAGACACCGGGGCAAAAGATGGTTTATCCCCTGGGGCTTTCACTGCCTGGAGAAGGACGGTTGACTGCGGTGGAGGTGTCGAGTTGTATGATGTTGATGAGAACGTCCGATACCAAAGGTTGACGATTGAGAGCCCCAGGGAGTGTGCCATTCACTTGAACAATTCTCCGTATGAAGAGAGGTCTTCTGAGGGAGAAACTGGAAGGTCATCAGACACCGTAGGTTTGGGGGAAGGGTCCTCTGGTGAACTGTTCGGGTTAGGGTGTAGTAAAAAGGTAAAGGTTCCCTTGCTCGAAAGCCAGCTGAATCCGACTCTAGGGTTGCGGTGCCCATCTCTGTTTCAAAGCCGAAGAGCCAGCGCTGTCCGAAGACATTTCTGTGGTCATGTGGCTGGCATGACTAAACACCAAGGCACACAGAACGCTGTTACCTTCCCACTGAAGTGGTACCTATTTATCTACTTGCAATTTCTTGCTTTTGAACTGCTAGGTTGGCAGGAGCTGGGAGACGGGAGCTCACTCCATCATGCGGCACACTCGGGTCTCGAACTGCTGAACTACTGACCTTCCACAGCCTGCAGTTCAGTTGGAAAATGTAGTAGTTCCTAGCAGGAGTCCAAGGTTGGGTTCTGGAGCCTGAAGTGTTAGCCACCTGCAGGCTATTAGTGGTTATTCAGCACTGACCCTGGGGAATGGGATCTGGTGAGCCTAGTCAAGCTTAATTGGCAATTAGTTCTGGTGGTTAGGCTTCAGTGTGGTTTAAATCAGAGTCTTTCCTTTCGAAAGAGACTTTTACCCCCTGGCCTGGTGGTATTTGGTACTGGTACTACTTTGCCCCCCCCCCAAATAAACCATTTTGTTACCTGTCTGTGTGGTGGTGTGTCTAGGGGTCTGCAGAAGGGTGTTCCAGTCGTTTGTTGTCTTGGCCCTACCAATATTCTCTGAGTGGGACTCTGGAGCCTGGAAGGGTTGGGAACCTTGCTGGAGGTTTTAAACAGTCAGGTAGACCACAGCCTTGTCTTTTTGGGAAGAGCAGGGCAGTGGCACTACAAAGGGCGTCCGATATCAGAGCGGTCTGTGATGGTAAAGTGGGGTTGGACCAGAGAGGAGAGGGCGGGCGACGAGGTTCCTCTGGAGGTTTGGAGAGAGATGCGGAAGGTTTGGATTTATGTTGGGGAGAGTGTGAACGGCGTGACCCGCGGTCCCATGGAGGAGGCAATGGTGGTTCAAAGTAGGTTGAGGAGTGCAGTCTTAACTCCCACCTGTGCGAATAGGAGGGTCTGGGTCTGGAATGACGGTACTTAGGGCATTCCTCCCATCGATATTGAGGCTCCCCATGCAGGGGGGATCTGGATCGAGGACAAGGATAACGAGAGTCTGATCCAGATCAATTGCTAGCCCAAGAGGAGGGTGACAGTGAACGATCTCTCTGAGGAGATCTGCGTGGAACGACCTCCTCAACCTCTGAGGGCGAGACCGAAATGGGTCTAGTGTCCATGGAGACCTCCGATACCGGGGGTCCAGCTGCCGAATGGGCGAGTCCAGTAACTCAATAGGAGGTAAAGGTTGTATCACAGGCAGCTCCGGTGCAGGAGGGTGATCGATATTGGGTTGCGCCCGCTGAGAAGGGGGCAATGCAGAGCCCTTTTTTTTGTACCCCCAAAGGAGATTTTTTTTATTGCATTTTCTAATAGCTACATACTACAAACTACAAACAGAAAGACCAGGAAGGGAAAACTACATCTATGGGAGAAAGTAAAGAAAACCCTCTAAAAACCCAAGAGATGGTGATCATACACGTGTGTACAAATTTACCCTTAAACTTAAACATAAGTTAACAGTCGTTGAAAATGTTCATCCATGTAATCAAATGTATCTAGTACTTCAATATTTCATAAAAAGATTGTAGAACAATTTGCATTAAACTACTTTTTAGACATTTCAGAGCACATTGGCAGTCTATTTCCTTTCCTTTTCTGTGTCTCAACGGATAGCCTCGTTAAGGACCCGCTGCCCCCAGTTTAGAGTCAGAGTCTTCCTCAGAGGATCCGGTCTCGCCTTCTTCTTCGCTTTCCTTGGCTTCACCGGTTGCACCTCTTTCTGCTGGGCTGCTATGTTGACGCAAAAATTCACAAGCTTTTTCGACAGAGTCAATCTTTTCTCTACCATTTGCATATCTGAAGATTAGACCCTCGGGTGTTAACCATCTGTAGGCAACATCATGCTTTTGTGAGAATAGAGTCAAGTCTCTATATTTCCTTCTTTTCCATCTCAAATGGAATGTCCTTCAATATTCTTATAACTTTGTCTTTGATCTTCAAGGTAGCTCCATTAGATGCTTTCAGTAGCTGATCTCTCACTTTTCTTCGAGAGAATCTTATTGTAACTTCCCCTGGCAGATTGTTCTTTCTAATAAATTCTGACTGTATCTATTTCGCTTTGAAGTTGATCCACTGCCATCTCTGCCATGGGTGCTAATGCATCGCCAACAATCTGCCTCAGATTCTCTCCTTTCTCTTCCTGGATGCCTTGAAGCCTCAAGACATAGCTTGCTTTTTCCATTTGAAGCTGGAGTACTCTGGATTCTTTGATTTGACACTTTCCCCCCAGTGCCTGCAGTTTCTTGTCCATCTTTTTTGAGTTGGTGTCAATCACTTTGAGCTCCTGCTCCGTTTTTTCTATTTTCTGTGTATTTGTGGTCATTTGTGCCTGCTGTGCATCCAGCTTGTTGTCAATTGCTGTAATTTTCTCCAGCAGAGGGCGAAATGTTTCCGATAAGAGCCTTTGAAGTTCCGCTGTTGAGTCCTGTCTAGGAGTAGAACTCGCAGGACTGGAGCTGGAGCTTCCGGGAAGAAGCTTTGCTTTCACTTGTTTATCTTTAGAGTCCTTCGCTGTCGGCGGCACCATGTTTGAGATTTGTTTATTTTCCCCCAAAGTTTGTCAAAGCCTCTAAAAGTTCTTTAAGATCGTGGTAAGTTCTTACAGTCTCTTTACTTTGTTTCGTTCGCTTTTTATAGCGAAGAGAGCCCTTGTGTGAGGCGAAAAGAGATTTACCTCGGGGGTGGGGGGGAGGCTGCCAGAGGCAGCGGCAACTCTCAAAAACAAGTTTTTAAAAAAGTCTTTGTGTAGAAGGAAAAAGAAGAAATAATGGTCAGGGGGGAAAAAAGGATTCAACAATCCTTTGTGAGAGAAAAAACACTTTTTCACCGACCGGCAGAAACAAGCTGTTAACAGCGCGGCGGTCAGAAGAGAACTGACGGGATGTCCGCACCCCACCCCCTTGGGCATGCGCAGTGGGGTTCCCGAGCGTGCCTGGGATGGAGGCGTGAAAATCCCGTTGTGAGCTTTCTATATAACCAATTCAGATCAGCGCAGGCGCATAATCCCATGGGTGTGATGCACAGAGACCACGAAAAAGATCCTGAAATTCCTGAAACCCTTCTATATGGAGGCACTTTCAATTCTTGGGAAGACTATAACCCTTTCTTACTGGTTTCAACTTTTCAAGGAAACTTGGAAGTTTACTGCACAGTAAAATTAATAGTGTATGCAACAATGTATGATAGACAAAGCAAGGCCACTGTACTTCCTGACTGATGGGGGAAGTGCCCACCATTTGTATCAGTCAGCTTTTATTAAAACTTTAGAACTCATGAGGTATGCAGAAGAATGCTGATCATTCCCACAATGACTTACAGTCTACAATATTTTACCTTCTCTACATGAATGTGGTCACGCAGATATTGATAAGAATGCTGTGACCCTATAGTTCCAATTCCAAATGAATTCTTATTTGATGCTACGGTGGCCAGATCCCCTCACTGCTCCAGTTGGGGGGATCTGGGGGGCATTCCAGGGGTGGGCAGGGCTGCCCCAAGCCCCATCCCAAAGCCCCACCCCCAAGCCACAACCATCCATGGCCACCCCTCTCTGTCTCCTCCTGCAGAGATTTAAAGGGCTTCAGCTGATTGGTGGGGCTCATGTGCCCCCCCGATCAGCTGCAGAGCCCTTTAAATCTTTCAGCAGGGAGGGAGAGGGGCTGTTGCTGGCTGCAGCTCCCCTCACAAAAAGACCCTTTAAAGGGTTGTTTTGCACATGGGGCTGATTTCCCAGCTTCAATTTGCCGCTTGGGATTCAGGCCCACACGCTGCTGCCCCGCTCACTGCGAGCCCCATAGCAAGTGGGGTAGCGGCACACCGGCCTGAATCCCAAGTGGTGAATCGCCACTGGGAAATCAGCTTCCACCCTGCTTGCATAAAGACCCTTTAAAGGGTCTTTTTGTGAGGGGAACTGTGGCCGGCAACAGCCCCTCTCCCTCCCTGTTGAAAGATTTAAAGGGCCCTCCAGCTGACTGGTGGGCCATGAGCTCCTTGCTGATCAGCTGAAGCCCTTTAAATTTCTGCAGGAGAGGAGGGAGAGGGGAGGCTGCCAGGCTTCCCCCCACTGGCCAGTGGCAGATTGGAGCCCCCAGAAGTGGGAGAACCCCTGCCTGGACCTGGGGGCTGGCACTCCTATTTGATGCAAGACAAGTGTGGACAATCACGACCTAATTAGAGAACAAATGATCAGAGAACAAAAAAGAAAACATTCGTGAGAGTCTGACCCACAGATCAAGTAGTCAACAAGACTTGCAAAGAAGATGCTTTCTGTATATTACGGTCAACAATCACTACAACACAATAAACAAATTCCTTCTAATCATAAGAAAATGCTAGTGTAAAAATACATCATCAACGTTGTCTCCGGATTATATAACAATGTTTCAAAATTGGATCTTCCTCAGGAAATATTAGAGTAGTACAAAAGCTCACGTGCTCATAAAATGCTTTAGAAAAAGTCATGAAAGATAATACATTCAGATAGGATGCTGATCTCAATAAGTATTCAGGCTCCAATATGCTGCTAAGCTTCTAATGGATCCCAGGCATCTCACCTGGGATCCATTAGAAGCTTAGCGGCATATTGGAGCTTGAATACTTATTGAGATCGGCATCCTATCTGAATGTATTACCTTTCATGACTTTTTCTAAAGCACTTTATGAGCAAGAGAACTTTTGTACTATTCTAATAAATCCTATTTGATGCTCAGAATAAAAAGTTTGCTATCACTTCAGTTGTAGAAGAAATTAAGGGATGGAAGTGAAAGGCTAAATTGAATTAGGCATGGAAACCATACTTCTTGATACTGAAATTCCAACCAAAATAAATTATCTAACTAGCAGCCATTCATTTTGTTAAAAAAGTTTTGAAAGTAAGGATTACTGACCAGATCAATGACCATCGTGTCCTCAAATTCTTCATTCATGTCCTCTAACTGACCTCGTGAAGACATCATTACATCTTCAAAGATAGGTTCAGCATCATCCTCCATTAGACCCCGCCTTAAGAGAGGGAAGGAAGATATGAATAAAATCTAGTGTACAATTATTTGTCTTATTTTATAATCTGAATAGGTAGTGATTTTAGTACAAGGTAAGGAAGCTCATGTCTTTCTCCTGGATAAGCAGGTGGTAATGGTGGCCACCTTTTACCAGCTTGGGCTCATGAGCCAACTGCAGCCTTTCTTGTGCAAAAAAGTTCCTTCCACTGTGGTGCATGCCCTGAAAACAGCTTAGACTACTGCAATGTGATGTGTGTGTGGCTGCCCTTGAAGTGTGTTTGGAAGCTACAATTAGTGTAGAATGCAGCAACCATAAATCTGACTTGAGTGGGTTGTAGGAACAATATCACAACAGTCTTGTTCAGCCTACAATGGCTCCCAATTTGCTTCTGGGCCCAATTAAAGGTGCTAGTAGTGACCTTTACTGCATTACATGGCTTTGGGACAGCATAATTTAAGGACTGCCTACTCCCATTAAAAAAACACAACACAATTCAACCACTATTGTCATCTTCAGAAGCCTCGCTTTAGGTGCCCCTCTCCGCCTAACGCTAGATGGGTGGCAACCAAGAAAGGACCTTCTCAGTTCTGACAACAAAATTATGGCATTCCCTTCCCAGGGAATTCAACTGTCCCCTTCTATCATTCTCTTCTACCAGAAGTGTAGACTTTTTTGGTTTATCATTACCTCATTGATTCTCATAGACTCTCTTTCCCATTCATGTGTGCATATGTTTGTTTTCATTCTGTATGTATCTATATGTGTTTTTTACTTGTTGTCTGGGTTCGGACTTTCCCACCCGGCCCCCGGCTGCCCCAGTGGAGAGCTTACCAGACAAGGCTGGTGCTGGGTCAATGAGGCGAGGCTGTGAAGCTGGCGGCCCACAGGCATAGCGCAGTGACAGGCCGCAAGCAGAGGCGGTGAGGGACCTGAACACAGGGTGGCTGGCGGGAGAGGAGAGGCGACGCGGGTCGGGCTTAGGAGCCTCAGCCGCCAGCCATGGCTGAGGCCCCGAACTTGGCCGCCCGGGTGGCAAGCCGCAGTGCGACAGGTGAGGACCCGCAAAGGACGCCAACTCCACCCTGGGCTGGTGGAACAAGAGGCGGGGAGGGAACCTTAAAAAGGCAGTCACCCCCACCCAATGGGAAGCCGGGCAGGGAGGATGGACAGGAGACTGACCCAATGGAGGCAGGGGGGAAGGTGAAAGGAGGGAGAAGGGATGGGTTAAAAGGGGGCCAAGATGCTGGGGTTGAGGAGGAGACGAACAGGAAAGTGATGCTTGGAGGTACGAGAGAGAGAGAGGCCCAGGAAGCTCGCTCCAGAGAGTCCACGGCTGGCTGGCAGGGGCCTCTCACCAGACTACTGAGACCCCAATGGCCCCTTTGGGAGGCTTGACATCATGGCGGAGAAAGCAGAGGAGGAGGCTGCACTCAAGACTTACACTTGTTTTAATGCTTTTATTGTTTGCCTTCTTAAAGACTGTAAGTTGGATGGAAAGGCAGCCTAAAAAACTAGCTACAAATGTCTCAAACGTATTAAATACATTTTCACATGAGGCCTGATCCATGTCACAACTTGGTGTTTTCTGTAGTTTGCCTTTTGGAGTCATTAAAAACAAGAAAACCCTATACAATGGCTGCTATATACAAGCAAACGATTTTCACACAATATATACTGAATTATCAATCACCCGGTTTATCCTTGGCTTGCATCATTCTCAACACTTACACTGCATGCCTTACACCACTTCTTCCTTTCATGTAGTTCATTCCCGTTCTGTCCTTTCGACTTAAGTCTTCTAGTTTTTGTTGGCCCAACCAAGATATCTGCATCTGAGGGCTTAGAAGATTGAATATGTCAGTAATTGGATGAATATACACATTTTTTTCACTTTATTGCAAGACCGAGTTACACCAGCTGCACATTTTTAGATTTGTACAGTGTCTAGTAATTTTAGATTATTTATTCCTACTTTTCATTGTTATTAGCCTATACTTTTAGTGGTATTTTTGTGTACAGATGTTGAGTAAGAAATACTTATTAAACTAAATATTAACTAATTTAATAAGAATGCATGAATTAAACCATTAATGTTAACAACAGAGTATAGGAATAAATCGCCTAAAATGAATAAACTCTAAAATCTAAAGTGAGACCTTGTACTAGGATAAAACTAACAAGTCCTACCAAAAGGCTTACAATCTAATAATGCCTTTAAATGTTTCTAGAGTTCATATTGATAGGGTTTTCCAACAAAACCTGGTTGGGGTCAGTAAACACTGCATCAATCAAACAGAAGTCGTCTTGTAGGTGGCACAGTCTATAACTTACTCTAAAGGCTGCAATACTACTGTTTGCAAGGAGTTTTTACTTTTAGTGCACTATTTGGTGCCTATGAAAATGCAGTACTCTTCAGTTAACATAAGGATTGCTGATGCTGCAACAAATGCAATTTCATTACAGAAGTCTCCTGGATACCTTTGGTGATGTCTTTAGCACGCAAGTACTCTTCAAATGCCTGTATTAATCTATTTATTTGTTGAAACCCCCTCCCCCCTTTTAAGCAAGTTTTATACACAGAATCATTTCTAGTCCTGCCATAAGGGTTACTTTGTAAAATTTTCATTTCAGCAATATTTTTAAAAAGAAGTTTTCATCACTACTTAAGCATGTCACTGTTACTTACTTGTGTAAGAAATCTTGTTCAGCTCCAGGTTCTGACTCATGCTCTTGAATTTGCTCTCCAATTTGTCGAGTATTCTCTCTTAGCACTGTTGATGTGAGCTGTGGCGCCTGTAGAGCACCTGGAGTTTGAATGCTGTCGTTCCTATTCAGCCAGGAGCCCTCAAGATTCTCATCTATACAAAGATAATTGCACAGGATGATAAACTATGATAATTAACATAGGCACAGCATGATTAACCTGCATAAATCAAAGCGAAAACATTTGGAACAGATAAACATTTAGAAAAAATGCTGAGTTCATACAAAATTTACATTTGTCACTCTGAATGTGATAAGTTTGGCTATCTAGCATTTGATTTCCAGTGTACATTACAATCTTAATTTACTTTTGTATATCTAGTAAAAGATAAACTTTACTTCAGCAATATTTATTAATAATGTAGCTTTCTTTGGAGGCTTAATTTAGGAACAGAAGAGTCTATGTTCGATTTGCTCAAGCTTTCAACCTGTGTTTTTGTAACCTGTAGTCAAATGCAGAGACTTGTTCCACATGTTCCACGCTTCTGAACTTTATGCAATCCACAAGCTTTTATGAATCACAAGAAAGTGTGCATATCTGTCATGACCAAATCACATGCCAGAGTGAGATGTGACCCCACATAAACCCCAATCTAAGCTTATAAGATTGTTCTCCCCTTCTTCACAAAGTAGCAATTCTCACTGCAATGTCCTAAATGAGCTTCCCTATTTCAGGTGTCCATCTGCAACTTTAATGAAGACAAAATCAAGGCACACAATTCAGTTGCAAGCACTAACGCATTCCTGGTCTAGTAATCAAAAGAAAAAGAAGGGAGGCAGTTGGTGTGGGTTCATCAAATGCTTGTAAATTCTGCAACAGAGGACAAAAGACTGGATGTTCCCATACTGAGCATTTGATTTAGGAAGAATAATGGATTAGATCTTACTGACTTTTCCACTAGTAAAAGGCAGAAAACACCCTCTTTGACCCCCGAAGAGGTTTTGTTAAGGACGGTGAAACTTTCAAGGACAAAAAGATGAGCAAGATAGGGCTACAAGGAGGGGATTGGGTGACCCCACGTCCCCTGGAACCTGTTAGTATCCACCCATTAATTTACAGACTACAGTAATGTGTTTTTTGCTTAGACAGGTTTCAGAAGCCCATCATATGCTAACAAATAGTCATAATACAGGATTAAAGTCTTTAAATTTAATGAGTGGAACATGTGTTGCTGCAATATATGAGAAGCCATGTAACTCACATGAATTTATACCACAATAAATTTGCTTTATCCATGAAAAAATGTGAAACTACAGTCTTCTACAAGGAGATTCAAAGCCATTTCTGCCCAAGGAATGTCTTGAAGAATCTCTAACATTTAACTTTGCCAACAGGCATCCAATAAGATGTTGTACTCATTGTTTAAAGTAACCGAAATATTACTTGTCTACTGCCTGCCCCACTGTACAGAGCACATTCTTCAAAACAATGCTTACCCTCAACCCTTTTCTTGTGAAGTGGAGGCCGGCCTTTCTTATTTCTTACAGAAGAAGCTTTGCTGCTGCTGCTTCCACTATTCACAGACATCCTATCATCCTCACCACCTGTAACTAATGAGTTTCTGTAGGAAATCAATGGAAGCCATACATCTTCCCTCCTTTCCATCATCTGTTCTGTTAGGAACTTCTCCAAGTAAGTATGACTAAAAGATAGGAAGAAGGAGGAAAACGAGCAGAGAACATGAATAAAGCAACTCTTTATAGTCACAATACAACTTCAGTTGTAAGGAATCATCAGATAACTTGCACCCACCATCTGAAAGAAAGTCCTTCACAGACAGATTTGCCTTGATGTTTGATTTGGAGGGTTCCTAGCTGAGTTGGGCAAAGTGATATTTCATCTCTATGCAATGTACCCTGTGCTACATAATGTATATTATACGGAATTAGACGAGCAACACAAGGGAACACAGGGTACAGAATACAGAAATGTAACAAAGCACTGTGTAAAAATCTATTATTACATATATATTTTTGTTAGACTGATATGAATTTTATATAATTATGTACTGACAAAAATTGTCTTATAATTTGTATTATACAGTTTACAAACTGTATATTAATACAGTTACAAAACCATTCAATAAGAGTTCATATGATTCTTATGATTATTACTATGCAAGGGGAAATAAACTCACAAAAAATTAATGTCCAAGCCAAAGATAACAACAAAAAGCAGCTCCCAAAACAAAGTGTACTGGCTGCAAAATAAAGATACAACAAGATAAAGATGCTGATTCTGTGAACTTAGGCAGATCATGAAAGGGAGGGCAGGAAGGGTTGCATCAGTGCTTAGTTCTTGTGGCCCTTTCTTATATGCCCAGGGAAATGTTGATTGCCACTTTGGGGTCAGGAAGCAACTTTTCTCCAGGCCAGTTTGGCTGGAGATCCTGGAGGTTTTTTGTCATCTTCTTGGTGTGGAACAGCGGTTATTGGGTGAGTGTGTGGGGGAGGTAGTTGTGTATGTCCTGCATTGTGCAGGGGGTTGGACTAGATGACCCTAGAGGTCCCTTCCAACTCTATGATTCTATGATTTATGTGTAATCTCCAAGTGAAAGTGACTGCAGGTTGCACTTATAATTGACTGACGAGATTCCTAGGTTGATTCTCATTTCTAGTCTTCATCAGAGTAACATTTCATCTATATACAAGAAGCTTGAGTCTAGAGCCTGAATCTGTTTCACCTAATCTGGAACTAAGCCCATCTTAACAAGGAGCCAAATATGCTTCAAACTTGGAAAATGTATTAATATTGGCATGTACAAATTATAAGACTATTTTTGTCAGTACATAATTGTATAAAATTCGTATCAGTCTAACAAAAATATATATGTAATAATAGATTTTTACACAGTGGTCCATTATATTTCTTTATACTGAATAAGACCATCAGCCCATCAAGGTCAGTACTGTCTACTCAGACAGGTAGAAGGCTTTCATTTCACCTGCTATCTGGTCCTTTTTAACAGGAGATGCCAAGGATTGAACCTAGGACCTTCTGAATGTAAAGCAGAGGGTCTTCCACTGAGCTACAGCCCCTCCCCTAAAAATAGATATGCAGAGTGCTCCATATAATTTATTTATTGAGCACATGAACACATGAAACTGCCTTATAGTGAACAAAACCTTTGTCTGTCAAGCTCAGTATTGTCCACTATGGCTGTCACTGGCTCTCCAAGGTCTCAGGCAGAGGTCTTCCACATCACCTGCTACCTCATCCTTTTGAGATGCCCAGGATTGAACCTGGGACCTTCTGCATGCCAAACAGATGGCCTACCACTGAGCCACAGCCCCTTCTCATCATTTTTAAAAGGATGAAATCAGATCAGCATCAATGATTAGAAAACAACTTTTATGAGTAGAGCTGAAGAGATCCTGTTTAGCTAGGTTTAGAAAAAAGACTGAGAGAACATATAACCTAGATTCCATAAATACTTTAAGAGGCATAAACACAGCAGTAGTGCACTGATTTTTATACATCAAACAGCTGTTCTAACCAATAAAGAATACAAACTGTTAATCGCATTTTGAAAGAACATAAGAGAATTAGAGGTGTGAAATTCTGTGAGTCTCCCTGGAGTCCTTGTCCAAGGAAAAAAACCCAGTTTCCAGAATCAGTGAATACATTTATGAAGAACATTTTTAGACTATAGGAGTGGCTTCTCACCTGCTGATTTTCACTGTCTCTAGGCCCTGCAAAATACTAAGAGTTACAGGGAACAAGGACAGTGAGGAACTCCTCTGCTGCCCACGGGCTTACTCTAGAGCTAGTGGTTTCCAAACTTTTTTGGGCCACCACATCTTTGGGTCCATAAACTCATTCCCAGTGCCCCCTACCCTATTAAAAACATTATTCAGAACAGCAGTCTGCACAACTAAGGAAGATACCCAAATATTTGACTTTCTTCTCCAGTTGAAATCCAGTCAACTCTGCTATTTCAAGTCTTTGTTTCAATGTCATATTTTTCATAATCACTTTAGTCTTCTGATAGTTTATTTTCATTCCCATCATTTTTCCATATTCATTAATCAGATTAATCAATTGTTGTACAGAATCCATTGGGTCTTCTAAGATAAATACAAAATCATCAGCAAAGGTCTGTAGTTTATATTTATTTCCTCTTATTGACGTCTCTGTAATAAGGGAGTCTTTTCTAATAGTTCTTGTCAGAACTTGTATAAACAACAATGGAGATATTGGATGACCTTATCCTTGTCTGGAGTATTTTAATCTTAATCTTTAAATTCTCATTCGAAGGATCCAGCTTTAATTCTTTCTCTTTCTTCTGAATACCGTCCAATCTTGGAATGTTCTCATTCTCTTTTCTTTCCTGCTGCAAACCTAATTGCCAGTCCTCTAAAAAAAGCTTTGCTTGCATCCCAAACTATCTTCATCGATGTTTCTCCATTCATATTTTGTTGAAAAAAAGTCTTCATTTCTTTCTGAGCCATCTCTAAAAATTGTCTATTTTTAAGTATTTGTGTATTTAACCTCCAGCTAATTTTTGTGTCTTCTCTTTAATCCTCAGTAATAGTGGGTTGTGATCTGCAAAGGTTTGTGGCATAATATCAATATCTTCAACTTCCTGAAAGAGATTTGATTTAATCCAACACATATCACTTCTGGACCAAGATTTATGTCTATCAGAATAAAAAGGGACTTCCGGTTGATGGCGGCACACTAGACAGACGCATCTACCGGACCTTCCGGGGATGAGGTCTGTGCACGGCGGGAAGGAGGGGGAGCGCTGGCCCATTACCCCCCCAGGGAGCCTGGCAGAAGGCTCTTAGCCAGGGGACTTATGAGGAGTCACCTCTTTGCCTATGTGTTGTGGGTGAATTGAGGCGCTCCTCCGTCCCAATGGTCCTTCCTGTGCAGTGCCCGAATGGGACCTAGTGACGCTGACCGGGGCAAGCGTAGGAGATCGAGCGGATGAAATGAAGTAAAGCGGGGTCGGAAGACCAGATATGAATGTCTGACTGAGCGAAACGACAGTTAAAGAGAAAAAGAAAGTGCCCTACCCCATGTTGAAAAACGGAAAGTGAAGTGGGCGGGAAAGGGACGCCTCCTAACCGCATGAACTTCTGAGCGAATCGAGGGGGGGGAGCGGAAAAGAAGGCATGCATAACTGTTAAGAATTACTTACCAAGGTGAGTTCAGGCGTTTGAGCGCATATTCAGAGTAAACAACCGAGTTTTCAAAGTAAACAACCGAGAAAGATGGCGGGGAAGAGGACGGAGAAAGAGAAACTTTCAAAATCGAAACTAATGGAGAGCCCTAAACCAGAAGGAGCTAACAAGCTGGCAAAGGCTCTGATCATACACATATCCATGTAATCATATTTTGTTATAGTTTCCTTCACCATTTGAAAATATTTCCCCTGCGATTCATTCAGTGCATGTATCACCACCATTAGAATTTTCCTGTCTCTAATATCTATTTCAAGTAGAAGTCTTCCATTTTCTAATGAAGATACCAAAATAGGTTTCAATTTTTCTTTAACATAGACAGCTATTCCTCTTTTCTTTACATTGTCCGAAGCAGTAAATAACTTGCAAAGTTTCTTATTGACCAGATAGTGTTCATCTTTACGACTAATATGTGTTTCCTGCAAAAATACAATATCGACATCTATCTTCTTAAGTTGTTTAAATATCTTTCATTTTTTCTCAGGTGAATTTATATCTTGATCATTGATAGATCCATTATAGTTGATTTCTATTTCTTGTTGTCATTCTGTGGTCTTCCTTCTGTTGATGATTTTGGGATGTACTGGCCTTAATCTGAGGCTGCTGAGTAAGATGATGCTTCCTCTTCTTTTTCTGTTGTTGAGGCTTTTGTTTTTATCTTCTTTATTTCTCCTCGCTGTAGAAGCTTTCCATAACGGTCCAAAAAGTATTTTGCCTTGAAGATGGAGTCTAATCTGAATCTTTGTCCTTCAAATGTGAAGAAAATTCCTTCTGGAGTAAGCCATCGAAATGTAATTGAATTTGTGGTAAGTTTAGAAAACAAAAATACAAATTATTTCCTTTTTTGTCTCATTTTCCAAGGAATTTCTTTTATAATCTTTATTTCCTTGTCTTGTATTTTAAGAGAATTATTTTGTGCTTCTTTCCACACACAATCTCTGATTGTCTTCTTAGTAAATTTCACATGTACTTCCCTTGGAAGATATAAGAAGTCAATTTCCCTCTCCATTTCTTCATATTTAACTTCCATTAAATCTGCCAATCCTTCTGCCATAACTCTGATTAGCCCTTCTCCTTTTTGTTCAGGCATGTTCTGAAATCTCAGCACATAAGCTGCTCTATCCATTTCCAGTTGAATCAGAGAGTACAAAGCGGTCTTCTGCTGTGTATCCAGTCTGTCCACCCTCAATGATGTTGCTTCAGCTTTCTCTTCAGCTTTCATGGCTTGCTGTGCCACCACTGTTATTTCCTTCTTATTTTCTATTAATTGTTTATTGAGATCAGCCATTTTAACTTTTACATCTCCAATCTCTGTATTCAAATTCTTCATTTGATCTTAGAAGGCTCGCTTTATCATATGTGGTGGACATGTGAGAAAGCAAGAGCGTTTTGGGCTGAAATACATGCAGAAATGGAAAAAATTGCAAAATGTAAATTTAAGAAAGAACCGGAA